ACAACAGAAACCCAACAATTCCCACCATGAGCAAGCACTAGGCGACACAGGCAACGAAAAACTTCCTTTTAACAGGCACGCTAATGCTAACCAATGCTAACGGCTGCATGCTAATGTGATGTAAAAGCCAAACAAAGTGGTCATTCTGATAAATTCAATTGAAATTCAAAGAACTTTACATACAAGATTAAAAGGAGAAAATGTCGTGAAAAAGTTCAATTAAAAGCAGAAATTAAGAATAAATTAACAAAGAATAACCTTTTTAAAAATTAAGAATAACTCAATTTATTTTGAATAACCTAATAACCTACCTTTTTTTTTTAAAGAATAACCTACATTTTTTTTTTAATTAAAAATAAATGACCTAATAACCTACTTTTTAAAAAACTAAGAATAACCCAATTTATTTTTAAATTAAGAATGACCTAAAAAATAACCTACCTTTTTAAAAACTAACAACTTAATTTCTTCTTTTTTTATTATTATTTAGAATGACCTAAGAATAACCTAATTAAAGAAAAAATTTTTTTTTAAATTATTTTAACAGAAAAGCACGAGCAGAAATAGGATGTACACTTACTTTCCTGACGTGGTAAAAGCAGGTGGATAAATTGATAAATAACCCTAACTGAGAGTAACCTACTTTTTAAACAATATTTTTACTGTAAGTTGTAAATAAGTCTCATAGAAAAGCACTTAATTTTAATTAAATTAGATAAGAAAATGGGATATTTTCCTGACGTGGTAAAAGCAGGTGGATAAACTGATAAATAACCCTAACTGAGAATAACATACTTTTTAAACAATATTTTTACTGAAAGTTGTAAATAAGTCTAATAGAAACTGGATGTTTCAGAGACTGGATGTCTCTTAATAATTTTAAGTTAATGACATAATAATAAGAAAATGGGATATTTTCATGACGTGAAATAAACTGGAGCTTCTACAGAGTTTTTAGAGGCTGATTCTGTTTTTTTATTTATTTACTTACGTCACTGAGGTGGCGCAGGATCCCTGAACCGATTCCCAGCCCTAAAAACAGAGCAAACGTTAGAGCTGGAACTCTGACTCACCGTTTCCTGCCTCCCACTACCAGCCATGATCACATTTATGTCCCCGTTATTCCGTGTTTAAGTCCGTACCTCTGCACCTGTCCATCACGTAGAACTCCTCCAGGTAGAGCTGCTTGCCCACCCAGGGGTCGTAGGTGAAGTAGTACATGGCGAAGCCCACCACGTCCGGCTCTGAGGAGACACACAGCGCCTTTAAAACCACGATCCAACTCGTATGAGAGGGACTTATGCTGGGTTTCTGACCCAAAACTGCTCAGAGGAGGCTTCTAGTTCAGTCCCGGTCCCATATCTGGATCCAGTTTAAAAAAAGTCTGATCTGTGTTTTCTAGATTAAAATAATCCATTACCATATACTGAGTTTATAGACTATTTTCTATTCAGGTTGTTTGTGTGTTTTGCCTTTTTAATACACTTTACAATAAGATTTGCACGTGTTACTGTTCACTGATCCCATTTCTGTTCTATTATTTTTTAATTTCGTCTAGTTTGTGTTTATCCCTGAACAAACAGTCTCTCTTTTAGGCTCGTCCTGACCCCTAAACCCCAAAACCTGACCCCTAAACTGGGCTTGTCCCAATATTTTGCCGATATTTGCAAAAATCTGCAAAGTCAGATCCCACGTTAGCATTAGCATCTGTAACCAACAGGTGTGTGTCCTAACCATTAAGTTGTTATCAGAGTAAATCCCTGTTCAACATAGTCTGACAACTAAGGAAGTAGATAAATAACTTTAGACTTTAACACATGCTCTGATAGGCCGGGATCGGATTTGGAAAAAGCTGGATGGGGACATCTCTAGAGACTTCAGTGTGTCTATTTGAACAACCTGATTGTGTCTATTATCGTTTTTTTTAAGTAAAAATAGAACATTTTGCTTGTATAATCCGTATGAAGTGGAAACAAGGTTCCATCTGCTGGGGGGGGGGCAGCTGGAAGCTTCTTTTGGCTCCATAGTGTGATCGGAGGGCACCTGGCTCCGCTCCGTAAACAGGAAGTGCACGCCGTGTCCAGATGGTGGACGGGCTGCGCACGTTATGCACACGCACGCCTTAAAATCCGCTAATCGGATGAAGCCTGTGGTTCAGATCCCCTCCCCCCCTCACCTCCACTGCTGCTCTCTCCCGGGATCTCGGCGATGATGCAGTGATAAAACGGGGTGTCACCGAATCCGTCCTCCAGGAGATCTGCACACAGGTCGGTTTTCCATCAAACAAAGAGCCAAACTAACACACAGAAACACACACTTCCCTCTCAGCAAACGCCTCCACACTCACCCTTCTCCGTCAGCGTCACCTGGTGCTCCATCTCCTCATATTTAGCGAGCTCCTGGGACAGAACCGAGAGAGGAATGTTTAAAAATATACACAAAATAAACACAACAACAAACCGGCTGTTATTATCAGTTTGGGACACATCTATAAGACTTTTTTGAGGCTCTAACCTTCATGTTTGACAAGGTAAAAACACAAAAAGAGACTAAAGCTTTAATTTGGTTAGAGGATTTTATCAATACACCCAAAAAAACAATCTGAGTTATTAAGTAATTACAATTTTCGACATCCTTGACTAGCTCTGACTTCCATGTGAAGATTTGCCTAATTTCTTGAAAACTTTTCACTGGTAAACAATCAATACAACAGAATTAATGAAAGGTTCAGTGAATTATTAGACCAAATAAGCAAGTTGTTTGACCTTTAATGCCCAAACATCAGTTTATTGTGACTACTTGCACATTAAATTGTTTAAAAATCTAGTTTGATTCAATGTCTCTATAAAAAAAAAATGGGTTATGCAAATTTCTGCTTATGTTAACATCGCGTTTGGGTTCCCGGAAGTAAAAGTGCGTTTAAGGAACCTGTGACGTGACTCTTTGTTCCACATTTAAAGCAGTTTACCACCCAAAACCGCAGACAGGCCTCCCGGTCAGCGGCCCTGGCCTTGTTTTTTGGCCCAGATCCCTTATTTATATGTGTCAGGTCAGACGTTATACAACGGAAGTAACGTTATGAGCACATAAGCCTCAGGCAGACCGACCATATATGGAAAGGAGGAAGTGAAGGCGGTCACGAGCTGCCCGGATAGAATCATCAAAGGGCCACCAACGGATCTCATCCCCGGTTCGGCCCGTTGGTTTTTCCTCCATCACAACGCCTCGTGTGACCCTACCCGCTCCCAGAAGCTACTTTAGCCGCTAGCCGAAATTTTAAGTAGCCTAAAAACTTTACGACTAGCGCGAAAAAAACGTTTATTTTAAACCCCCAACGCGAAAAGGAACGAA